GGCGTACAAGACGTACAGATTCCCGTACAGGTTATCGTACAGATCCCGTACAAAAATAACCTGTACGTTTCGTACGGGAAACCCCCCGTACGTGTAGTCAATGCAACGTAGGTTTCTACGTTATATCCCGAAGTGTTTTCGGTTTTTCATTACCGAAATAGACTTCGGGATTTTTCGAGATTTACTTCGTCAGTTTACTTGTTTTGGCATGTTTATCCCAAAGTGTTTTCGGTATTTCGTTACTGAAATAGACTTCGGGATGTTCGAGATTTACTTAGTCTTGTTTCTACGTTATATCCTGAAGTGTGTTCGGTGTTTCGTTACCGAAATAGACTTCGGGATTTTTCGAGATTTACTTGGTCTCGTTTATATGTTATAGCCTAAAGTGTTTTCGATGTTTCATTACCGAAATACACATCGAGAGTTTCAATTACTTAATCCCGTTTGTGCGTTATATTCCAAAGTGTATTGGGAGTGGTTGTGTGGACCAACTTGAGCTAGGGTGGGTGCGCATGAGAGAGAGAGAGAGAGAGTGAAAGAGAAAGAAAGAGAGAGAGAGAGAGAGAGAGAGAGAGAGAGAGAGAGAGAGGGAGAGAGAGAGAGAGAGAGAGAGAGAGAGAGAGAGAGAGAGAGAGAGAGTGCACGAGTGCATTCGACTATTGAACTACAAATACTAAAACCCAAAAATAAAAAGCAGCGAAAGACAGGAAACAGAGGAAGGAGGAAAAAAAAAAAAAATCGTAGTGAAAAATATGACTACAAATCTTTAAAAAAATAAATAAAAAGGTTTTTTTTTCTTACTATTTTTTTAATATTCGAGGATAGCTCGGAATTGGACAAACATTTAAAGGTTTATCTTTAAAATGATCTTTGAAGGAAGGGGCCGCAGGTGTGCGTCATCTATATATATATATATATATCGTCAAATAGAACTGCCCGGTATATATATATATATATATATATATAGAGAGAGAGAGAGAGCACGAGCGCATTCGAGTATTTACCTTCCAATACATAAAGCCAAAAATAAAAAACTAGGCAAAAGTAGGAAACAGGGAAAGGAAAGGAAAAAAAAAAAAAAAAATCATTGTGTAAATTACAACTACGAATTCTTAAAAAAAACGAAAAAAGGTTTTCTGCATTGTAGCATGCAGTGCATGTCTTCTCAAGTACATACTCATGACATAGCTCCTGACTCCGGTCTGTTTGGATGTGCATTTTCTTAGGATAAGATAGAGATAGACTATCATCCAAGGAAAAATGGTTGTTGTTGTTTTTTTTTTTTTAATTTTTTTTTTGTGATTTGACTATTGATGACTAGACATTAAAAAAAAAACTAGCAGGAGAGTAGGAAAGTCCATCCTGCCGATGTATATGTACACATGGCAGAAATAGGTGCACTTTTTCTTTTTTTTAGGAGTAAAAAAACATGGCAGGAAATAGTAAATACGATCCGTCATTCAGACCATGAAAAAACTTCTTTTACGGATATGCTTTTACGCATAGTTCGGACTCCGGAAAAAGGTGGCTCCTCAGCGATGTAACGCCGCCTAACTTACCAAAATCGAATATTCTATGAGTTCTATCATTGGAAATTCTGTCTTAAACCACCAAAAATTATGTCTAACTCTTTGAATTACTATAAATTTGGGCAGCACTCCTTTTAGAAAGGGAGACTTCCTCGATTTATACTCAGTCAGATATGAACTCGAACAATAGCTCGAGCTCAACTTTAGACTAAATTTAACTAACTCCTTAATTTTGTAGAAATTTCGGCAGCACTCCCTCTAGAAAAGTGTTATTCCAGAATTTATACAAGGCTAAGTTCAGAATTTTGAGAATAACTTTGACTTCTCAAAGTCCAATTTTGTCTAACTCCCTGAATTAGTAAAAATTTGGGCAGCACTCCCTCTAGAAAATAAGACTTTCCAGATTTATACTAATCCATATATGGAAAAGACAAGTTGAACTCTGACAAGTCAAAAGTTGATTAACTTCTTGGATTTGTAGAAATTTCGGTAGCGCTTCCCGTAGGAAAAGTAGCTTGCCAAGATTTATACAAAGCCAAGAATAAATAAAAGATCTCAGAAAATGCAGGAATTGACCTAAGTAAAAAAAAAACGTTATTACAGAAAATGCAGGAATTGACACTAACTCCTATGGCTCTAGCACGTGGCGAGCAACTACAGCAACGACCTATAGTAATGAAACTTAAACAAACTAGCCATCCCA